TGTTTTTTCTTCTTCATTGAGATGCTCAAGCTCAATATTTGCTAAAATATTATTAAGCCTATTGTTAGCTTTTACATTCATAGACAAAATATCAAAGGAGTCTAATTTTTCAAAATTTAATTCATTCAAATCGATTTCTATTTCGTCGTGTGTTGCATTAATGGTAGGTACTTGAGCGAAATAATTAATTGGCCTTACTAGACAGTTTCCAACATAGATTTGTTTGTTATTAAATTGTTTAGAAAAACAAATCAAATCATGATTCGTATTAATAAAAATCCTTTGAATCAATTTTGTTGGCGCAGGAATTTTTACCAGATTTTTCCCACGCATTGCATTAATAAAACAGCAATCGGAGGACTGAAAAATCTTAAAACAACTATCTCTATAATAAATTGTACAGGGATAATTATTGAAAAAATCACTTCCCAATATTCCATCGCACGGGATGGGAAAATTTTCTTCCACAACATTAATTCTAAAGAACCTTTTGAAATGTTCAAAATCAAAAGTTATCATGATGGTTCCAATAGTTGTGATTGATTCAGGTGTAACACCTGATATTTCAATTGTGTTCTTCAGAAGATGTTTCATTATGCAACTATTGCGTTTAATAACGCTTACTTCTGCTCCAGCATCTAATAAAAAAGTTAACGGTTCTCTATTGAGGCACGTTTTTATTGGAATAATTGGCCTATTTGTTTTCCTAGATTTAATAAATGGGATTATGAAATCCCTAATGATTTCATTAGTTGCAGTTCCTCTTTGTCTGGGCCACTCAGGCCCTATTGGTTTTTTTTTTGTTCCAATATATTTATTTGCGACCTTTGGCGTATGAAACAATTAGCTTCTGAGTGGCCATTATTGCCACAAAAATCGCATTTCATTTGTCCTCTCATAATATAACTAAATCAGTTCGGTTTTTATTTCTTTTTTACTTGAAACCGATTTTGATTTGGATACCCTTGAAACTGTTGGGAATTATTTTTATTAAACGTGTTGTAATTTCTGTTTCCAGAAAATGATGCATAATTGTTTGCAGAATTCTGGTTACAGTTGTTTCCATTGCCTTTGCCATTGAACTGTCGTGGCGCATTCTGACAAATTTTGGACGAAAATGACTACTATATTGGTAGAAATTACGCCGACTATTTAAAATTCCATCAGACTTAAAACTGGATTCTAAGCTGTGGGCTCAAGTGGCTGCTTTTTCCAGTTCTGTAAAATTGTTAGACTTAACAATATTTTTTATATCACTGGTTCTTAATCCATTAATAAAATACTCTATTATTACCCTAGAGTATATGTATGTAGGTAACTTGTGTAACATCTTTATTTCTGAGGGTTGAAGTTTTCAACAAATCCTCAGAAACTAACTCCAGTTTCTCGTGAAGAATTAAAGCCCTATCCCCATAGGACTTAGCATCTTCATTTTCTTTTTGTCTCAGATTTACCATGTCTGAGATCAAAACATTCAGCGGTGCCTTTTCACCATACTTATTAGATAAGATGGTTTTAATTTCATCAAATGTTGTAGCATTTCTACATAATGTAAATGCTTCTACATTTTTAAGCTTCCGCTTTATTATTTTAACTAAAATAGTCTCTGGTGTTTCACCAAGGCTATCATTGAAATCTTGGCATATCGCCATGAATTGTTGGAAATTACTTTTTCCAAACAATTCTGGAATATCCACACGGGCTTCTTTTGGATCAAAAGCCATTATTCCAAGAGATGAAGTTATAGATAAATCTGAATCTGAATATGGCAAAGAGGGAAGATAGGAATCTGAATCTTCTTCGGTTTCCTCTTCTGAATTTTCTGGAAGTAGATTGGCTTCCAAGGGTCTCAAATTGAATTCGTTATTAAATTCAATTTAATTAATGTATAAAATTTAAGTGAATGAGGATACACAATTTTTTTAACCTACTTGCGTTTTAATTTTCCTTCAGGACCACGTAAATGAAATTCCAGCTGGCGACGATGTTTCGATCACTGTTGATGTCGATATCTTCCTCTGATGTCTTTCACGAATTTTTGTTTTGTCACTTGCTACTACTGCTGCTGCTGCGATGTTGATTTTTCTGGTACAGCTCCGGAATGTTCTACTCAATGGGCATAGAGTCTGACCACTGTTCTGATAGTCACTTTTAGCCTTTCTTCACGGCACCATTAACGTAAGCACTACCGTAAAAAATCACCACACGGCGAATTGCGACTTAACCTTATTTAGGTCCTGAAAGGCTTTTCTTCACGAATTTTCGCCAAGTCACAACAGTTTTCTTAAGCTTCAATAATCTTCCAACTGTTCTGAACGTTCACAATAAATTGCCGTAAGACACTTTGTGAAAGAACTCACTTCTTTAAGTGTCTGTTTATTAGGCTGCCTTGTTGCACAAAAATGATGTTGGTGGTTCCACAATTTAAAACAAATTCCACCTCACAGTCACGTTACTGATTATTATATTACTTCGGGGCGGACGCTTTAACAAGCAATTGGAACAACTCACAGTTGTTTCTCGTTAAGTCCTTTATGAAATTGACTTTTTTTTAACGCAAAAACCGTTCACCGCTGCCACCAATGTGGAAGTGTGATATATAAGTGAACGTACTCAAGTGGAGATGGAAGTGGAACTAAACTTTATTCTCACTTCTGTCCTTACGAAACCTTAACATTCTCACATTCTAATGAACCTATTCCTTTCTTACGTTCCCGGCTTTTCGTGGGACGTGATAATCATTATTAAACTTAACACATTTCGGGATTCCAAGAAGGTGACTGGTTTTTTGTGCCGCACGGCCACGTCTAAGTTATTTAACACTTGTTTGATAGCAGTTAATGCCATAATTTTCTATTATACCATTTTTCACGATTGTGCAATAACTTCCTGCATGTTTGCTACGGATTTGGCTGGAAGCTTATTTGCCCTTATCTTCTCACGTTTGACTAACACTTTTGTTGCGAAGACGGCGAAACTTGAAACCAAATTCTATGAGTTTTTATTGGGGTTCATCACTTCGTCAACGTTAGATGGCAGATTTGTTCATAGACTTGATTATACCTGTCGTCTTGCAATTCTCGCCTAAAACGTCGTCGGCTAAAAGCCACATCTAGCTCTCCATAGGTGGGAGCGAACGGTGCAACCATACTGTAAGAGTTGTTGATTCCTGCTTGCCAGCCAGGCAGGGACTCATCTCCGGGCCTAAAAAACAACAACCTGGCGACCTCTCTTCTCGACGCCGTCGGTAGGTTCTCATCGCTGCACCGGCAATTGATCCAGGATCAAGATCAGCAGCGGACTCCAAGTAACCTCCTTCTTTGCGGAGAAGAACAGTCTGTCCCAGTTTCTCACAGACGATAACTCCATAGTTAGAGAGGGATCCATCTCTAATGGAGGGCATTCCAGTTGAAAGACTCATCTTTCCTTCCAACGACTTAAGAGCTGCACTCTGCTTGGACCAAAGAACAGGATTATAACCTATTCGGGTCTGAAACCCGTGGGTGGGCCAGTGGTTTACAGCTTCTGCGTAAGTGTTGCGAGCCTCTACACTCAAGGGTGCCAAATCGGGTTGGTATCCCAGCAAGTTCGGGGTGGGATTACCGTTTTGTGGCGTCATGTTGTCCGGAAGCGGGGTGTAAACGATACGCCCATTAATGGGCTCGTTCATGAGAAGAGCGTTAACAGTACGCCTAGTCACTAGAGGTGAGATGCTAGTCTCATAAGAGTTATGAGAGTCAGCTTCTGGTAGTCCAAAGTCACCTCCATCACACCTTGCTCTTTTCTTTTTCGGGACAACGGCCAAAGGAACGTTGGGGGCGTAAGAGTACCCTGTCTTGTCCTGAAACGTTCCAAGACCCTTCAACCAGTCGTGAACTTCGGTTGGAATTAGGACCGTATCGGAGTTGAGCAATTCCTCCATTTCCTTAATCTTAAGGTCCTCTTCTGCATGGCTCCAAGTGGAGGCCTGTCTGGTTTCGTGTGCCACTCGTTGAACGTGGAGATGGTATAACTGGGTCATGTTGTGGACGAATACTGCCTGTGGCAGTACATCTGACATGCGACCATCAAGTTTCGTCATCTTTCGGTGGCTCTGTTCGACCACGTTCAGATATCCTTCAGCCGTGAAGTTGTACAAAGCAAAATCACGATCTGGAATCATACCAGTCAGGGTTGGTACCGTATACCTTAGCTCGTCCGAAGGGGGAGACTGCTCTTTGGCTACGTACTTGGTCGCTGGGTCTGCAGGTGGGCCAGCTTTCTCTTCCTTCTTTTGGAACGGCTTATGTCCGTGGGAACGTCGGACACCTTTGCCACTCCGGTTTGTGGCTGGGGGATTCGAGTACTTATGTCGCATCCATAGGTCGCTGGTTCAGATCCGGCTCGAAGAACCAAGTGTTGCGAAGACGGCGAAACTTGAAACCAAATTCTATGAATTTATTCCGTATTGATGGAAACAATTATAAAATTCCTGCGAAAGAAACTCTTATAAACAATGTTAACATTTTTGTTATTTTTACCTTACTATTAGCGTTTCTAGTCTCGTAGTTTTCTCGCGCAACAATTGTTCTAATGTCCTACTTGTCCTCTTTTTTTTACTCCTCCATTAACGTGGACTGTTCTCATAGGTTTTCCTCCACCTTTTCGTCTAGACAAAGTAGAATACGAGGTAGAATAACATATAATTTTCACTCATCTCTCATTACCTAAAATCTCACCTAGATTAAGCTTTATCGAGAGGCACTAAGTTAAATTAGGTTTAAGAATAAATTCACTTTAGCTCATAGGAATTAAACTAGTATAAGTATTTTAATTTCACTTTTGAAGCAATAGAATTTAATTTAATCTGAAACCTTTCACCTTCCGCGATGGCTATTTGTTTACGATTATCTTCTTTTTTCGTCCACGTATTGTTTATCCTTGGTATCGCAGCCGATCCCTTCGCCAGCGCCAGGTGTGGCGCGCAGTGATGCAGCGTCGAATGGGGGCACCGACACTCTTTACCGACGGGGCGTAGTCAACACTCCCCCCGGAATGCGCGAAGGATCATCCGATAGCGTATTCGTCCTAACGCCTACGTCGAGCACAGCCAATGAAATGGCCGGGCGCTCGTATATTCCACCAGACGCTGTTTGTACTGTCGCCGACCGTACCTGTCCGTCTGGAGCCTGATGCGTAGCAATAACTCTTCCCTTAGGCCAGCAGTTTCTGGATAGCTTCGCGTCAACGATCACCACAGTATCACCGACAGTAATTGGAGTCGCTGGAGTGAACCACTTCGTTCTTCGCGTAAGACAGGGTAGATAGTCCCCCATGTAGGTGAAAGGACGACTGAATGCAGCCAGGCGTGACTGCGGAAGATCGCCCATCATCGGAGGACGTGGTTTCGCTAGGTCATTCTTGCACTGCTGACAGTCTTTCCGAACAGCGTTGTAGGTCGCTTTCAGCCGAGGAATGCGGTACCGTTGCAGGAGCTCGTTGACAATCGTTGCGTGGTTCTGGTGGTTGAACCGCTCGTGGGCCTCAGCTATGATTAGTCGGGTGACTTGATGATGACGAGGAAGAATAATGGGTTCAGCAGCATCACGATCGACGAATGCGCACGCCTTCGTTCGACCTCGGAATCGGGCAACTCCGTTTTCGTCCAAGAAAGCGGTACGAAAGAGTGGGTTGTTTCGAATGATCCTTCCTTGGGTGCTCGTTTGGTGATATCCCGCTGCCAGCGTGGCGATCTCGTCCGCGTAACCTTCGGACTGTGCTAGGCGGAACAAGTAGTTTTCAGCTCTAGCCAGTTCCTGCTGAGTCAGCGACCCATTGACACGTTGTTCCTTTCTTGTGGACCGCTTCAGGTTGTGAACGTACCGGAGGACGTACGTTGTGCGACGAAGGAGAGGACTCCAGCGAGAGAAGTATTGTGGATCGATAACTGGTTTTGTTGTTGATTCGTGGAATAGCAAGTGTGGGCGCAGCTCTTCGTCGGTAGTTTTTCCGAAGCCTGGTGAGACAGGCCACTCCTGTTGTTCTCGCCAAAGGAATTCTGGCCCCCTGAACCAGCGACTGTCTGCAGATAAATCTGGAGTTCGTGCCCACTTTGTTCCATCATCGGCCACGTTCAGCTTCGTTGGAACCCACCGCCATTCACTAATCTCCGTCGACTCTAGGATCTCGCTGACCCGGAAGGCGACAAATTGGCTGTATCGCCGATGGTCAGATCCTAACCAGCAGAGCACGTCCTTGGAGTCCGTCCAGAAAAACCGCTTCGAGACCTTGATGGACAGAGACGACAGTATTGTGTCTGCAAGTCGCGCACCAAGAAGAGCCGCTTGGAGCTCAGATCGCGGGATTGACAGGAACTTCAGTGGAGCTACCCTAGTTTTAGCTCCCGCCAAGGCACATTCGATCGTGTCTCCCTCAGTGAATCGAAGGTAGACGACCGCTGCAAACCCATTCTCACTGGCGTCGACGAACGTATGCATCTCAATCTCTGCTTCAACGGATGTCAAGGATCGGTAGCATCGGGGAACCTCGACGGAACTCATCTGTGGAAACACTGCCAGCCATGTCAACCATTTTTCGAACTGCGTATCTTGAATTGGATCATCCCAGCCGATTGCTGTCCTCCAAATCTCCTGCAGCAGCACCTTCAGGAACATCAGCAGATGTGAGATAAATCCCAACGGATCGTAGACCATCATCAGCATTCGAAGAACTTCTCGCTTTGTTGGTCGACGGCTTCGGCTTCGGCACAATTTTCGTTTATACAATTATTGTTATTACATACCTAGTATACTGTTCAGTGTTTTTGTTGGCTGCTCTCTTCGGACTGGTCCAGGTTTCGATTCCTATCGATAAAATGCGACCGCTTTCGTTGGTATTCTTCACCATCGGCTCGGCTGTTCCCCTTGGAGGACGGATGCTTCCTTGTTCCTTTATGTTTTACTTGTGTCACTTTGCGTTGCGCTTGGGATGATAACTGTAGCACTTTTTGTCTTTTTGATCACTAAACTTGTTGGACCATAGCTTTTTGAGCAGCTTTGCTCAGTGCTTTCTTTATTAACTTTGCAGCTAATTTTATAACCACGAGTGACGTTTGCACCGTCAACATAATCAGCATAATGTTTAATTTTGAATCGTGGTCCTCGAGTTGACCAGTTGGTTTTCAATGATTGTGACCGTTTGGTCTCCAATCGTACTTTGATCCTGTTTTGATTGCGATTTGCCCATTTTGGCAAAGTTTGAACACTTATATGACACTAATCACTGATGAACTTGTTTTTCACCTCACGGTCGCCATGTAACGTTCGGCTGTGATAACTTTTACGGAGAGGCATCCGTACAGGTTCGCGTGGTGAAATAGAATAATCTTTATTCATTAAGGAGACTATTATGGAACTTAACTCTACACAACTTATTCTAGGGGGAGGTGCTTAACTCAGTATGCAAAAGATGTTCCAAAACATAGTCGACCAATCGCGTACGTTTCCGTATGTGTTGGCGACGAAGGTTACCAAAAGAAGTATGCCAGAAATCTGGGTTATGTTATTGCAACGATCGTGCTGTGTTTGGGACATGGATTCTAGACCACCGGAAAAGAAACATGTGGTAATAATAATTTCGAGTGTGGCAGTTTTTCTGGGACAGCAAGGGCGAAAGGCACTTGCTATTTATTGTTATGAGTTTACAAGTCTATTTACTATGCTATCAACTTGGAAGGTCTGCGTAAAACAGATCTCCATGGAATTTGAGATGGTTGCATGTTAAACTTTAGCTATTGGAAAAGGTTGTAAGATAATATGCTACACTGCGCAATTGACCGCGCAGTTTTCAGAGCCTGTGCTCTCGCTTGTTTTTTTATGCATTTTATATAATGTAATGCTGAGATGTATTATTACTACTGCTAGTATAATAATCAGCATGACTTCATGTTGCTCATGAAATTCTGTATGAGCCTGCTGATTATTTATGATTTGCACTTGTGGGTCAGCGCTAGCAACTGTGTTCTTTGTTTGCTTCGAACCCATTCTGAACTGAGTTGATGGTCTCTTTACAGATAACTATTTCACTTCACATTTGATTTTTGTGCAAATTTTCTTATTCCATTTTGAACTGACTTGAGGGTTTCTTTTCTGATAACTGTTTGCTTCTCACTTTTGATTGTTGTTAATTTTTTTTTTTTTTTGTTGATAGTCACTTTTTTCGAGCTATTTCACTTTTACTTTTAATCCTACATTCGCGTTATTTTCTTCAATAACAAAACGCGAATATGGCTCCGCCAATGTTATTGTTTATCGCGGTTTTGTGTGACACTATACCTTTACTTGTTGTTAGGATAGTTAGTCCTTTGCCCACCGGTAAAAACACTTTAGCTATGTCCTACACTTTATTCTTTTTCACTGTGATGAACTTCGAGAGTCCCTCGATGTGTTCTAGTTTGGATTCGATGATTTCAATTGCGTTATTTTGTTTATGTTTTAACACTAAATAATTATTGTCCTCGAGCACTTTTAGGAACTGATTTGTGCACTTGTACTTCGGCCTATGCCGTCCTTTGGCTTGTGCTACCTCGGTCGTAAACATGGACTGACTTTCGTCACCATGCGCCGTTAATTTGGGTGCAGTGCCAGCAGGACCTCTTCCGAGCAGCGGCTTGTCTTTGGTTTCTTTTCTCTTTTGCCCTTTTTTATAAATAATAATTTCCTACCGAAATACTTTCGCTTTCCCTTGCCACTCTCATAAGGTGAATGACCTGGCAAAGTAAGTCCTCCTCTCGATTAGGGAATTTATAATAATTACGATGTCGCGTTCGCAACACCGGGTCTTCCGTGTTGCAGGCCTGTTGAAAATTCATTTCACATGCAAGTACATTTTCGTCTTCGCAGACAGATTGTCGGAATCGGATTGGTTCGTTTCATGGTTTGTTGATTAACTTTTTATTTAAAGTCAATCGACTTCTTATGGAGCTGTCAATGTCCATGGGTTGTGGGTGTGTTTTTGAGAATTTTTCTTCGTTCCTTTCTTGTGGGTATGTTTTTGAAAAGCTTCTTGTTTCGTACTTTTCTATCCTTTGAGGCTCATAACCGTTTGAGATCGGTTGTTTGTTACTATTGTTTTTAAAAAAAATCTCATTATGTTTATTTGAATCATTAATGTTATTCGCTGTAATTTTTTTTGCTTTGAATTTACAAAGAAATGCGTATGCATCTTCTAGATCCTTAGGTCTTGCTGCTTGTGCGTGACCAAAGTATGGATGGTATAGGCCTGCTATAAAAGCGGCTAGCACGTCCTCTTCTATAAACTCGTTTATGCCCTCCCAATGTTTTCTATAGTTTTCTTTTTGTTTGGACAAGGTCTTGATGTTTTGCATCAATTCCTTGGTTTTTGTATAATATCGATGGATATTCATTCCTTCTGTCATATGATGCTGCCACAATTGGCTTTTATATGTCGACAGTTCTTGTCTGTCGCCCGGTGCCGTCGTGAGGATGTCTTTGACTTCCTCGAATGTTTGAGGGTTACCGGCAAGACATATGATGTCTTTAGTCTTTCCCTGAATTTTATTTGTCACAGCAGTGACGTACATGTTGTAAAGTGTGTCATTAACATGTTCCCTAAAAAGGTGCAAGGTGTTTTCCACTGTTATCAGCCAGGCTGATAACTGTTTTCTATTCCCATCAAATACTGGAAAGATTTGATTGGGTCTGGTATTTTGTAAAGATGATCTACGTTTACGCCTATTGCGTTTTGTTGTGGCACGGGTGCTACTGGGGGTACTACTGCAGGTGCTACATTCTGCAGGTTTTCAATAGCTTGCTGCTGACGATGTTTGTTTTCGTTCAGCGCTTGAAGTTGCTGCATAATGCTAGCAATTGATCCATTTCAGGAGAAACGTTGAGCTTTTCAATTAAAGGTAAAGTGTTTTTAATTGGAATGTACGAATGTTCATCTGATTCAAGAGACGAAATGCTCTCTTCTGAATCAGATGTATCGGTTTTCAAAAAGAGTCTCCTTGCTTTTTTTAAAGCACTATTTTCGCTCTTCACTTTGGTCATTCAGATAATTTTGACACTTGCTCCTGTCACCTTTTCGTCTGGTCTACTTTTCTTTTGTTTGTTACTGTTGAGGCTTATGTTTCGCTTGGAACGCACAAGGCCTCTGAGATCGTGTTTCTCTTAGAATTCCACGTATCCCTTGGATCTAAAACTCTCTCTAAGAACGGTTTACGATCCGAGCAGCTAGAAATTTTATAGCGGTTTTATCTTTGCGTCTCTCTTGGAACGCGTGAAAGTACACCGAACAATTTTCCTGCTGCTGGGTAAGCGTAATTAATAACTTTGAATACTCGCGTCTCTCTAAGAACTCGCGGGCAAAGAAATATAAAAACACTCACCTTAGTCGTGTATGGCATGTTCGCTTGGAATTCCAATTTCACGCGGCGGAACCTCTACTTCGATGCACACTTGATGCTGACGAATGCTTTCGCGGATTCACTTGAACTCAGGCTGACGGGCAAGAGTTATTGCACTGTTTTTTTTTCTGTAAAACTGTCTTTCCAAGCACTGCACGGCTGCGCCAATCACGAGTGTCTGGCCGTGATAACCTTTTTAAAAAAAGGACAATTAAAAACTAACATTTATTTTCACTGATTCTTCACCTTCACACGTAATTCACCTAACTCACAATACTAACAGACGACGTTCCTGGCATGCTTAGTCCTACTTATAAGCTAAATCTGCTGACCGTGCTCCTCGATGAAATCGATGAGGCTGGCCGTATCAAAGTCCGTTGCCAGGTTGACGATCCGCTGACTCAGGTGGTGCCTCGCTGTGGCAAAGTCCGCTGCTGGGTTAACGACCTGCTGACCCGGGTAGATGTTCCAACGTAACTATAGTTTAAAACCTGATGAAGGTACTGGCTGGAAGGAATTCGGATCTTAACAGATCGACAGACGTTTTAAGACTAACGAAAACATTCGATTTATTAAGTAGAAAATTTGCCTTATTATATGGGTTTGAGCCTAGAAAGATTTGTCTCCTGCTAAGATCTTCCTAACGTAATGTTGATTAGAACGAAAAAGACAAAAAGTATTCCTAATCTAAACTTATCCATTGTTCTCCTTCAAAATCATGTGAGGCATTTCGGGTCCACGCAATCCTTCCAGAATAATCTCGTATGTATGCATACTAGACTGATGCAAAATTTGAAATTTTCGCTCCACTGTGCTTAAACGGTTCTAAATTGGGTACTGCTTAGCCTCCCAAAATTTGAACTACTTTAGTAAGAAACTGACTTGGCACAAACCATTTCAAGTTTATATGGAAATTACTATGGGAAAACTTATGTTTTTGTTCATATCTATCTAACAATTCACCACATCACTATGCTTTTAAAAATCATAGCAGTGATTGTAGAAAATTTTCTCAACTTTGGTGAAAATCACTTTTCAATCAAAAGTAAGGAACAAAAGTTATTAATGATGCATGTCACTGATGTCTTATAATTATGCTCATTCAACTGTTCAGCAGGCAACATTGGTGTTTCTGGTGCGAAGAATAGAGCACAAATATCATGGCTACTATGTCACACTGCAGAATACAGTGTTGCCCACAGAACAGCTGCTTGATCATGCCATAAGATTATCAATCTCTTAAACAATTAACAACATTTTAATTTGACATTTGACTGAAAAACGATG